CGTACACACGCACGCACGTACACACGCACGCACGTACACACGCACGCACGCACGCACACGCACGCACACACGCACGCACACACGCACGCACGTACACACGCACCCACACACGTACACACACGTACACACGCACGCACACACGCACGCATGTATACACGCACGCACACACGTACACACGCACGAACGCACAGATATAGTCGATCTTTTTCTCCGCGAGAAATCTTGTCTGTGTAACTTCTTTCGCCTCCGAGAAATATGGCAGAAAACGTGTGTACGTATATCTAGCGGTCACAGATAGTACATGCCGCAATAGCAATAGCGTACAAGAACGAGTTACATGAACCATGTCGGATTCACAAAATATAATACACAACTAGATTGAATCGATATTGAACGAACCGCGGTCTCGGCACATGTTAGCAGATGACCACACAGCTGAAGCCCGTTTAGAGATGCACCAGAAGACAATATGTAAATTACGGTAGAAACTGCGGTTGGTGTGTCAGCAACATCAGGAAACAATAGCTAGCAGAAGCTGTGGTAGGTGTGTGAACAACAACAGGAAATATTAGCTAGCAGAAGCCACGGTTGGTGTGTGAGCAACAACAAGAAAAAATTGCTCGTAAAAGATGTGTCTAGTGTGTGAGCAACAGCAGTAAACTATGGTTAGCAGAAGCTGTGGTTGGTGTGATATATAGTTAGCGAAGAATAGTTAGCATGCGCTGTGACTGGTAGCATGTTGAATACGTTGCACCACTAGTCGACGTCTCTATTCTCCGATGTACGAGACGATTAATCTTAATCTCGGCAGTGAATCGTAGTGGAGAAGACAGCGGCATACAAGAGTAGGAGAGAGAGAAAGAGACAGAGTGAGAGAACGAAAGAAAGAAAGAGAGGGGGAGAGAGGGGAGAGAGAGCGAGAGAGAAAGGCAGCGAGAGAGGGAGAGAAAGAGAAAGCGAGAAAGAGAGAGCGCGCGCGCGAGAAAAAGAGAGAGAGGGCCATTCCCTCACTAATCGCAGGGCGTGTGCGTGTTATACACGCCCGCGCGCATCACAGGCACTTAATTGGAGCGTTTCAATGAAATATAATGCTAAATAAATACGAAATCTATTTACTACAAAAGTCTTAATGTTTCTCTACTCTCTTTCACCTATTTCCTGTAAATGCCGTCCAAATGCTCATCTGCAACACACGCTGGCCGCCGCACGCTAGCTGCTGCACACTGACACATAAATATAAATATATATATATATATGTAGATTTCGTATTTATTTAGCATTATATGTTATTGAAACGCTCCAAGTGCCTGTGGCGCGCATGTACGAACGAGTATACAGCAGCCGCCGAACACACCAGCGAGTCACGATCGACTGTGTACGTAGAGAGACCGGCGCGCACATATTCACAGAGAGCCTTACCCAGTATATGATCTCTGTGGGGGCGGCACGAAGCACACACAATGTAAAGTCGACGGCGTCAACACATGTAAACTGTTGCTGTCCGCGCATTTTAAAATGACCCGAATGGACAGGAATGCCATTCATGCAACGCTTTGTCAGAGCCTCGACCAGTACATGGGAGTGCCATGCATGCAGCAGCATCGCTCCATTCCACGAACAGTCAAGCATGCATAGCGCGAAAATTCGCACCGGTCCGGTATTCACTATTCAGCATAACCTTTACATTATATTAGATTGTTTGCACTCACAGCCGGGTAGATCGTATAATGAATTCTAGTCTGATAGACAAGGCTACGAACTAATTTTTGCTCTCTAATAACTAATAAGCTTGCGAGAAGCAACAAGCGGATTATAGTCACGATGAGTTCGTAATATGTTGAATGGGAGATACTTGAAGAGGATTCCATATTGAAGAGGATACAAACGTGCCAAGTCACACGTGGAGCTAGTAGGCCGAGAATGCACATTCTTATCTCGAGTTACCTCTAACATGTTAATTCAAAATTAAATCAAACTCTAAATGGCGCCTGGTAGACATGCGCAATACCCCCCCACCCCCACCCAGCAGTACCATGAACGTATATATGTACACACAAATTATATACATATTCACAATATTACTACAACCACTGTTACAAAATACGACCCTGCGTTCATGAACTCGAAATCGCATTTCGTTCAAAACACGTGCAGCAAGTAAAGATGGCTGTCTATCAAGAACGCGTTTGGGGGTTTCCTTTGAGTGACCCAATATATTATGTATATGTATATGTATATGTATATGTATATGTATATGTATATGTATATGTATATGTATATGTATATGTGTATGTATATGTATATGTATATGTATATGTATATGTATATGTATATGTATATGTATATGCATGTAATATTATGTATATGTATATGTATATGTATATGTATATGTATATGTATATGTATATGTATATGTATATGTATATGTATATGTATATGTATATGTATATGTATATGTATACGTA